AATATCAGAGGGACATTCCTGGACATCAGAGGGACATTCTTAAACATCAGAGGGACATTCTTAAACATCAGAGGGATATTCTTAAACATCAGAGGGACATTCCTGAGCATCAGAGGGAAACCCCGGCTGTGGGGTGTGGGAAGGGGGTTGTCCTGGGGGCTGTGAGCATGGCCCAGGGGTCCAGCCATGTCCTTCCCGCCCTTCCCAGATCTATGGCTCGCCAGGGATCAATCCCTATGAGTGCCTGAGGCAGTCCTGCAGCATCCTCATGGCCACCATGAACAAGATGGCCACGGCCATGCAGGAGGGCGAGTACGACGCCGACCGCCCGCAGAACAAGGTGGGTCCGGCCGTGCCCCGGCACCAGCCACGGGCCCTGCCCTGCCAGGAGGGACGTGGGCAGGGAGCTGGGATCCCATCCCTGCCATCCCAACCCGCCCTGTCCCGCTGTCCCAGCCCACGCCCCCGGCAGAGCTCCGGGCAGCCGCGCTCCGGGCCGAGATCACGGACGCCGAGGGGCTGGGGCTGAAGCTGGAGGACAGGGAGACGGTCATCAAGGAGCTGAAGAAGTCCCTCAAGATCAAGGTAAGGTGTTCCTTACTGGTCCCTGCCTGTTCCTTACTCATCCCTGCCTTCCTGGCTATTTGTCGCTAATCCCTGCCTGTTCCTCACCCATCAACTTATGTCTTTGTTTTCCCGCTCTTCATTCACATCCACCATCGCCTGTGTCTCACCATCCCTGCTGTTCCTCACCATCCCTGACTGTTCCTCACCCATCCCTAACTGTTCCTCACCCATCCCTGCCTGTTCCTCACTGCTCCCTGCCTGTTCCTCACTGATCCCTGCCTGTTCCTCACCCATCCCTACCTGTTCCTCACCCATCCCTGCCTGTTCCTCACCCATCCCTGCCTGTTCCTCACCCATCCCTGCCTCCCTGGCTGCTGTGGGAGTCACCTCCCTGCTCAGGGTGGCTTGTTACCTGTGGAGCTGATGATCCCAAATCCCAGCCAGATCTCCTGGGGATGTTCTTCCTGTGGGCAGGGAGGTACTACCTTCCAGATCCTACCCAGGCCTCTCCCCATGATGTGTTGGGATGCTCAGGGTCAGACTGGGATCTGTTCCTGGGTTCCAGCCGTGGGTTCTGGTGATTTTGGGGCTCCCCCAGCTCCCGGAGCTCCCTGATTCCCTCCCTGCTGCTCCAGGGCGAGGAGCTCAGCGAGGCCAACGTGCGGCTTAGCCTTCTGGAGAAGAAGCTGGACAGCGCATCCAAGGATGCAGATGATCGTGTGGAAAAGATCCAGACGAAGCTGGATGAGACCCAGACACTGCTCAAAAAGAAGGAGAAGTGAGTGTGGGATGGGCTGGGGATGTGGAGCTGCTGGAGAGAGTCCAGAGGAGGCCCCGGAGCTGCTGCCAGGGCTGGAGCCCCTCTGCTCTGGAGCCAGGCTGGGAGAGCTGGGGGGGTTCCCTGGAGAAGAGAAGGCTCCAGGGAGAGCTGAGAGCCCCTGGCAGGGCCTGAAGGGGCTCCAGGAGAGCTGGAGAGGGACTGGGGACAAGGCCTGGAGGGACAGGACAGGGGGTCCTGGGCTGCAGCATCCCTGGCTCAGCCACCCCTCCGTGTGCCCTTCCCAGGGAGTTTGAGGAGACCATGGACGCTCTCCAGGCCGACATCGACCAGCTGGAGTCGGAGAAGGTGGAGCTGAAGCAGCGGCTGAACAACCAGTCCAAGCGGACGATCGAGGGGCTCCGGGGGGGCCCGGCCTCGGGCGTCGCCTCCATCGTGTCCGGCATCGCCGGCGGTGAGGGGCCGGAGCGGGAACGGGGACTCCTCGGGTGGGAAGGGTGCTCCCACAGCTGCCCTGGGCAGGCAGGGCAGGGGGCACCTCCATGGAGCCACCCGGGGTGTCCCTGCATGGGATGGTCCCTGGAGCCATCCGGGGTGTCCCTTTGGCAGGATGGTCCCTGGAGCCACCCGGGGTGTCCCTGCATGGGATGGTCCCTGGAGCCACCCGGGGTGTCCCTTTGGCAGGATGGTCCCATGGGATCCGTGCCTGCTGGGGCTCTCCTGGGCAGGGATGGGTGCTGGAGCTCTGCTGCTCAAAGTGTCTACAAAACCCCCCTGGAGCAGGAGCAGGTGTTTGGTGTCTGGGGGGCTCTGGCTGCAGGACAATGTGTGACCTCTGGAACAGAGCTGGGGTGTCCTTCAGGAATGACCAGGTGGCCATGGAGCAGCCTGGCCTGTGGCCCCAGTGTGGCAGGGACCTGGTGGGTCTGCAGCCTGAGCCTTTGGCCCTGATCTGGGATGGGTGACACCTGGGTGAGCATCCTCTGCATGCAGGATGCAGCATCCTCTGGATGCAGCAGCCCTGGGATACAGCATCCTCTGGATGCAGCAGCTCTGGAATACAGTATCCTCTGGATGCAGCAGCTCTGGAATACAGCATCCTCTGGATGCAGCAGCCCTGGAATACAGCATCCTCTGGATGCAGCAGCCCTGGAATACAGCATCCTCTGGATGCAGCAGCCCTGGAATACAGCATCCTCTGGATGCAGCAGCCCCTGTCCCTCCGCAGCCTCTCCCGTGTCCCCACATCCCCAGCCCTGGCTCCCGGGACACTGCTGGCACGTTCTCACTCCCAGAGGAGCAGGAGCAGCCCAGGAGCTCTGTGCCATTCCCCCAGGTCCTGCTGGGGTCACTCCCAGCTGCTGGGATGTTGCTCCCAGAGCTGGGAATGGGATGAGCCCTGGACGGGGTCATGGGGAATGGGAGCTGCTCCAGCCCCAGCTCCTTTCCCACCCAATCCAGGGCTTTAATCCTGTTTTTATTTGTCTCTCCCTGTGCTGCAGAGGAACAGCAGCGAGGTACAGACACACCCAGTGCATGAGGGGGGAAAGGTGTCCCCGGGTGCCCAAATCCCTGGGTTTGGGAGCAGGGGAAGGATCCGGGTCCTCCCCAAATGCTGCCTACCCTGGGAGCTGCTGGCTGGTGCCTCCCGGGAGACTGGGAAGGGAGGGATGAGAGTGGGACTGTGGTGGGGGCAGAGTGGGGTGACTCCCACCTGGAGAGCTGGGTCCCTGGAGCGCCTGGCACAGCCCCCACCCTCGGGAAGGGGCACTGGGAATGCTGAGGGGGGGGGTGTGCCGGGGACCTCTCCAGGGAAGTGCCACGTGTTGGGAATGGTTCTGTCGGTGCCTGGGCACACCTGGCAGCCGCCGTGTCCCTGTGCCCGGTGCCACCACCCCGGGTGACACTGGTGCCTGTCCCTCCCTCCCCTCCAGGTGTGGGTGCCGGGCAGGTGCCGGGGGGCGGCTCCGGCCCCGTGCAGGTGAAGGACTCTCCGCTGCTGCTGCAGCAGATCGACGCCCTGCAGCTCTCCCTGAAGCACCTCAAGAACGAGAACAACATGCTCAAGGTGGGGGGCTGGGCTCAGAGGGGTGGGGGGTGTCCAGGGGTATCATGGGATGTGGTCTGGGTGGGATGAGCCTGTGTGTCCAGGGGCATCCCTGGGTGTCCAGGGGCATCCCTGGGTGTCCCAGGCCTTCCCTGGGTGTCCAGGGGCATCCCTGGGTGTCCCAGGCCTTCCCTGGGTGTCCACAGGCATCCCTGGGTGTCCCAGGGCTTCCCTGGGTGTCCAGGGGCATCCCTGGGTGTCCCAGGCCTTCCCTGGGTGTCCACAGGCATCCCTGGGTGTCCCAGGCCTTCCCTGGGTGTCCAGGGGCATCCCTGCTCCCACCCCTGGGAGATCCACGCTCTGCTGGCTCTGGTGGAGTTTTATCCCCCAGTTTTCCGTTTTTATCCCGTTTTTCCACCCGGCTGCTCCTCGCAAACCTTTCCCTGGCATTCCCCGTGTCCCTGCCGCAGGGTGCCCAGATGAAGATGGAGCTGGCCAGCCTGGCCCCGCTGCAGGTGCCGCGGGTGGCCCTGCCCCGGGAGCGCCCCGGGGAGGGGCTGCCCACGCAGACCCTGTTCCGCAAGACCACCCAGCTCCTGGAGACCCTGTACCAGCTCAGCGCCAACGCCAAGGTGCTGGACATGAGGCAGAACAAGTCCAGTACGTCCTACACAGGCATTCCCGAGGGAATGACGGGGGGGCTGCGGCACGGGGGGCTCGGCCATGGGCTGGGGGCATCACTGCACCAACCTGAGCAGGTCAAACCCCCCAAATCCCCCCAGCACCAACCTGAGCAGGTCAAACCCCCCAAATCCCCCCAGCACCAACCTGAGCAGGTCAAACCCCCCAAATCCCCCCAGCACCAACCTGAGCAGGTCAAACACCCCAAATCCCCCCAGCACCAACCTGAGCAGGTCAAACACCCCAAATCCCCCCAGCACCAACCTGAGCAGGTCAAACACCCCAATCCAACCAGCACCAACCTGAGTCAGTAAACACCCCAAATCACCCCAGCACAACCTGAGCAGCGTCCAACACCCCAAATCCCCCCGCACCAACCTGAGGCAGGTTCAAACCCCCCAAATCCCCCCAGCACCAAACCCGAGCAGGTCACACCCCCAAATCCCCCCCGCCCCACCTGAGAGGTCCCAAACACCCCAAATCCCCCCAGCACCAACCTGAGCAGGTCAAACACCCCAAACCCCCTGAAACCCCCCGGTAACAACCTGAAGAGGTCAACCCCCCCCCGTACCAACCCAAGGAGGTCAAAACCCAGCAATTCCAACCCCCCAAAAACCCCCAGTACCAATCTGAGGTCAAAACCTCCCCGAAGCCCCCCTGGGACCAACCTGAGGAGGTGAGACCCCCTCAAGCCCCCAGTACCCACCCCAAACCCCCCTCTGTACCAATTTGAGGAGTTCAAATTCCCCCAAGCCCCTCTGTACCCCCTGAGGGAGTCATGCCTGCCTTGCCATGTCCGTGTCCCACATATCCTGTGCCATCCCTGGTGCTATGTGTGTGTCCCATCCCATCTCACACCATCCCTGGTACTGTGTGTGTGTCCCATCCCATCCCACACCATTCCTGGTGCTGTGTCCCATCCCATCCCACACTGTCCCTGCACCATGTCCCTGTCCCATTGCATCCCACACCATCCCCTGTGCCGTGGCCCATCCCATCCCACACCGTCCCTGGTGCCGTGTCCCTGTCCCATCCCACACCGTCCCTGTGCCGTGTCCCTGTCCCATCCCACACCGTCCCTGTGCCGTGGCCCATCCCCTCCCGCACTGTCCCGTTCCCGCAGCCCGCAGTTCCTCGGCGCGCCTCCTGGAGCAGACAGCTCGGCTCTGCGCCCTCAAGAACACCATCGATGCCCTGAAGGTGAGGAGGGGCCTTCCCCAGGGCCTGCCCAGTCTCCCCGGGCCCCAGGCTGGGTGTGGGGGGGTCACATCTCAGGGCAGCCCCGTGGCTGGGCCTGGGGGCTTCTCAGTGCAGCCCCTTCCCGTTCCCGTTCCAAAACAGTCGGGTCTGATCCCTCTGGCTTGTGCCCGGGGATGCAGGGAGGGCAGGGGGCTCTCTGGGGTGGCAGGGGGTCTGTGGGTTGGGCAAGAGGCTTCCTGAGGCAGGGGAGGGCTCTGTGGGGCGGGTGAGGGGCTCCGTGGGGCAGTTGTGGTGGTGACAGTGCCGTCCCCCCCAGGATGACACGCTGAGGGAGATGGTGCAGCAGCAGCCGGGCGCCGGAGTCAGCACCACCTTCGGCACCTTCCCCTCCTCCTCCTTCCTCAAGGTGAGACCCTGATCCCCAGGGATCCCCCAAATCCCCAGGGACCCCTGATCCCCAGAGATACCCCAAATCCCCAGGGATCCCCATCCCCAGGGACCTCCATCCCTAGGGATCCCCCCAATCCTGAGAGCCCCCTGATCTCAAGGGACCCTTGTTCCTGAGGGATCCCCAGTCCCAAGGAACACCAACCCCGTGGGATTCCCCAATCCCGAGGAATCCTGACTCCAAGGAACCCCAGATCCTGAGGGACCCCAGTCCTAAGAGACCCCCAATCCAGAGGGTCTCTGATCCCAAAGGACCCCCAATCCTAATGAACCCCAGTCTCGAGGGAACCCCCCAATGCCAAGGCACTCCCGTTCCCGAGGGACTCCGATTCCCAAGGGATGGGGCGGGTCAGGACTCCCAGCTCCTCCCACGGGGCTCGGCCCGTCCCGGGGGTCGCGGGGGGGATGCGGTGGCTGGGTAGGCCCCCCGCGTGCGGGATGGGGGTGCCCGGGGTGCCTCACGCCCTGTCCCGCAGGCCAAGCAGGAGCAGGCGCAGGGCCCGGCGCTGTGCGGGCGGGTGTCGTTCCCGTGCCCCCCGGGGCAGGGCCAGGCGCACCGGCTGCTGCTCACCCCGGACCTGCTGCAGCACCTCCGACAACACTTCGTCGCCTGAGAGTCCCCCGGAACGGGATGAGGGTCCCCTGCGCCCCCCCTCCGCCCCCCGGGGACCCCCCACTGCCTCCCCCGGCCCCACTCGCGGGTGGAGCTCGAGCCGCTTCCCCCGGGGGGATCCGGGACCCCCCCCTCCTGCTCTCAGACACTACAGACCCCGGGACCCCCCCGGCTGGGGCCGTCCCGGGGGGGCCGGAGCCCCCCGCGCCCCCCTGTGCCCCGGGCCGGGGCTGCGACCCCCCCGCGCTCCTGCTCTCCAATAAAATGCCCTGAACCTGAACCCGCCCGCGGACCCTGCACCGGCACTGGGGGGGACACGGCGGGGACGGGGGTTCGCAGCACACCGGGGGTCCCAGGAGGGGTCCGAGAAGGACACTGGGGGGCCCGCGATGGGAGCGGGGGACAGTGGGGGCTCCCAGCAGGGGCACTGGGGGGCACAGGGGAATACTGGGGCAACACGGAGGGGTCCGAGGGGGGCACTGGGGACCACGGAGGGGGACTGGGAGGGCACTGGGGGGCACAGGGAGACCCGGAGTGGGACCAGAGCAGCTCTGGCCGTCTCGGGATGGGACCGGGGACAGTTGGGGTCCCGAGTGGGGGCACATTTGGGGTCTCATCTGGGGTCCCATTTAGGGTCCCAGGGTGACACTGGGGACACATTTGGGGTCCCACTTGGGGGTCGCGGTCCCGCCACGTGCGGCCGCGCGCGCGTGGAACCGCGCGGGAAGGGGCGGGGCCGGCGCGGGCGGCGGCTCCCATTGGCCCACGCGCAGGAAAGGGCGGGACGAAACGCATCTCCCCGAGTCTGATTGGCAGGAGCGGCAAAGGGAGGCGGGACCTCCCTGTCCTCAATCTGATTGGCTGCGGGGCGGATCCATCAGTGACACCCCTGCGGTGATTGGCGGTGGGTCGGGGCGCGGGCGCTGATTGGGGGCGGTGGAAGTGGGCGGGGTTCCGGTCTGTGTGGGGGCGGCATTTCCTGACGGCGGCGGCAGGAGGAGGAGGATGGTGAGGGCCGGGCGGGCCGCGCCGCATCCAGCGGCATCGGGGACGGGCGGGGACGGGGGGCCGCGGGGCCGCACCGGGATGGCGGGGAGCGGGGCCGGGCCGGGGGGAGCGGCGGGCGCAGGGCATGGGGGGCGCGGCCCCCGGTGAGCGCGGCCCCCGGTGAGCGCGGCCCCCGGTGAGCGCGGCCCCCGGTGAGCGCGGCCCCCGGTGCCGCCGCAGGTGCTGCTGCACGTGCTGTTCGAACATGCGGCCGGGTACGCGCTGTTCGCCGTGCGCGAGGTGGAGGAGATCGGGCTGCAGCTGCCGCAGGTACGGGGCGGGAGCGGGGACAGCGGGGAACGGGAACGGGGCGGGGAGCGGGGAACGGGAATGAGAACGGGAACAGGAGCGAGAAGGGGGGCGGGGAGGAACGGGAGCGGTGTATAAGAGGAGCGGTGTATAAGAGGAGCGGTGTATAAGAGGAGCGGTGTATAACGGGAGCGGTGTATAACAGGAGCGGTGTATAACGGGAGCGGGCAGCGGGAGGGCCGGGAACGGGAGGGAGTGGACCGGGATTGGGGGGACCCGCGGGGAGGAGCCGACCCCGTGCGGGGGGAGCGGTCCGTGTGCCCGGGGGGTCGCCCCCCGGGGCGTTCCCGCCTCCCGGATGACCCGGTGCCCGGCCCCCCCGGCCCTGGCCGTGTCCCCCTGCCCAGGTGGAGGACAGTGTCCTCACGATCGGCAAGTTCCACAACATGGTGAAGCTCGTGGCGTTCTCGCCGTTCCGGTCGGCGCAGAGCGCCCTGGAGAACATGAACGCCGTGTCCGAGGGTGAGTTGGGGTCTGGGGGGCACAGGGACCCTCCCGCGGCCCCCCCTGATCCCCCGATGTCCCACAGGGGTCCTGCACGAGGACCTGCGGCTGCTGCTGGACACGGCGCTGCCCCCCAAGAGGAAGAAGGTGGTGCTGGGGGTGGGCGACGCCAAGATGGGGGCGGCCGTGCAGGAGGAGCTGGGGGTGCAGTGCCAGACCGGGGGCGTCGTGGCTGAGCTCATGCGGGGTGAGTGGGGACGGGGGACACCCCGGGGGGGCTGCCATGGGGCTGGGGGGGCCATTGGGGGTGTGCTGGGGGCTGTCCTTGGACCTGACCCTGAGCCGCACACAGTGACACCTCTGTCGCCGTGTGGTGGCACCTCTGCCCCTCCCTGTCCCCATGTGATGAACCCTCTGTCCCCCACACAGGTGTCACAGGTGGTGACACCTGTGACACCCCTCTGCCCTGCATGGTGTCATCCCTGTCCCCCCGCAGTGACCCCTTTTCCCTGCCTGGTGATGTCTGGGTCCTACACGGTGATAGCTCAGTTCCCACATTGGGTGACCCCTGCCCCCCCGGTGACCCCTGACCCCCCGGTGACCCCCGTTCCCCGGTGTCCCGCAGGGATCCGGCTGCACTTCCCGGTGCTGGTGCGGGGCCTCACGGCGCAGTCGGCGGCCAAGGCCCAGCTGGGGCTCGGCCACAGCTACTCCCGGGCCAAGGTGAAGTTCAACGTGCACCGTGTGGACAACATGATCATCCAGTCCATCAGCCTGCTGGACCAGCTGGACAAGGACATCAACACCTTCTCCATGCGCGTCCGGTGAGCGGGGAGGGGTCCGGGGGGTCTGGGGGTCCCGTCTCCCCTCGCTTACCGCAGGCAGCTGCTGCTCCGGCCGCCTGTACAGACCGGGGAGCAACAGCACAGCCCCCGGGGCCACCGGCCGGGCCACGGGCCATGGCGGGGACCTGGGGGGACATGGGGAACTGGGGGGGACATGGGGGGGCACAGGGACATGGGGGGAACATGGGGGGCCACAGGGAGATGGGGGAGCCATGGGGGGACACAGGGCCATGGGGGGAACATGGGGGGACACAGGGCCATGGGGGGACCATGGCGGGGAGCTGGGGGGACACGGGGACATGGGGGGAACATGGGGGGCCACAGGGAGATGGGGGAGCCATGGGGGGACACAGGGCCATGGGGGTCCGTGGGTCCGGGTGTGAGTGCTGAGCCCGTCCCTGTCCCGCAGGGAGTGGTACGGGTACCACTTCCCCGAGCTGATCAAGATCGTCCCCGACAACTCCCTGTACTGCCGGGTGGCCAAATTCATTGGGAACCGGCGGGAGCTGAGCGAGGAGAGCCTGGAGGGGCTGGAGGAGATCGTCATGGACAGCGCCAAGGCCCAGGCCATCCTGGAGGCCTCGCGCTCCTCCATGGGTGAGGGGGGCTCTGGGGGGGCACGGGGGGTCACGGCTGTGGGGTCACGGCTGCAGCTCACCCCGTGCCCCCCCAGGGATGGACATCTCCCCCCTGGACCTCATCAACATCGAGAGCTTCTCGCGCCGCGTGATCTCGCTGTCCGAGTACCGGCGGGGGCTGCAGGAGTACCTGCGCTCCAAGATGAGCCAGGTGGCCCCCAGCCTGTCCGCCCTCATCGGGGAGGTGGTGAGTGTCCTGGGACCCCCGGCACCCCTCGGCCACGGAGATGATGTCAGAGTGAATCTGTCAATCCACTGAGCAGAGCTGCTGACACCTCACTGCTGATCCCTGGCCTGGGGGGGCTCTGTGTGCCCTGGGGTGGGCTGTGTGACCTGAGGGGGACTCTGGGTGCCCTGGGGGAACGGAGGGGGACCTCTGTGTGCTCTGTGGGGAGCTGCATGTGTGCCCTGGGTGAGGTCTGTTGTGTGCCCTGGGTGAGATCTGTGTGTGCCCTGGGGGGTCTGTGTGTGTCCCTGGGTTGTCTCTGTGTCCTGTGGTGGGCTCTCTGTGTGTGTGTGTGCCCTGGGTGAGATCTGTGTGTGCCCTGGGGGGTCTGTGTGTGTCCCTGGGTTGTCTCTGTGTCCTGTGGTGGGCTCTCTGTGTGTGTGTGTGCCCTGGGTGAGATCTGTGTGTGCCCTGGGTGAGATCTGTGTGTGCCCTGGGTGAGATCTGTGTGTGCCCTGGGTGAGATCTGTGTGTGCCCTGGGGGGTCTGTGTGTGTCCCTGGGTTGTCTCTGTGTCCTGTGGTGGGCTCTCTGTGTGTGTGTGTGCCCTGGGTGAGATCTGTGTGTGCCCTGGGGGGTCTGTGTGTGTCCCTGGGTTGTCTCTGTGTCCTGTGGTGGGCTCTCTGTGTGTGTGTGTGCCCTGGGTGAGATCTGTGTGTGCCCTGGGTGAGATCTGTGTGTGCCCTGGGTGAGATCTGTGTGTGCCCTGGGTGAGATCTGTGTGTGCCCTGGGGGGTCTGTGTGTGTCCCTGGGTTGTCTCTGTGTCCTGTGGTCAGCTCTGTGTGTGTGTGTGTGTGCCCTGGGTGGGCTGTGGGGCTGTGGGAGCCATAACCCCCTGTGTTGCCCCCCAGGTGGGTGCCCGGCTCATCTCTCACGCCGGCAGCCTGACGAACCTGGCCAAGTACCCGGCGTCGACGGTGCAGATCCTGGGGGCCGAGAAGGCCCTGTTCAGGTACCGCCGGGTGGTCGCGGTGATGGCGGGGCCGGGGCCGCGGCTGTGACGCGCCGGGGCTGGCGGGGGTGAGCAGCCGGGCCCAGTCTGAGCGACCACCGCGGCTGCGGGGCCAGCCCGGGGCTCCCCGAGGTCAGCGGGGCTGGGGGGGCCAGGGGAGGGGAGGGGGCTGTCCCAGGGGCTGTCACACCCGGGGGGGCTGAGAGAAGGGGCTGTGACACTTGGGGGGGCTGACAGAAGGGGCTGTGACACTTGGGGGGGCTGACAGAAGGGGCTGTCACACCCGGGGGGCTGAGAGAAGGGGCTGTCACACCCGGGGCTGAGAGAAGGGGCTGTCACACCCGGGGCTGAGAGAAGGGGCTGTCACACCCGGGGGGCTGAGAGAAGGGGGTGTCACACCCGGGGGGGCTGAGAGAAGGGATGTCACACCCGGGGGGCTGACAGAAGGGATGTCCCATGGGCAAAGTGGGTGCTGCTGGCGGAGGGGGTGAGTGGGGGCTCTGTCTGGGGGTCCCTGACACCCCGACCCCTCGCAGGGCTCTGAAGACACGCGGGAACACCCCCAAGTACGGGCTCATCTTCCACTCCACCTTCATCGGGAGAGCGGCCGCCAAGAACAAGGGGCGCATCTCGCGGTACCTGGCCAACAAGTGCACCATCGCCTCCCGCATCGACTGCTTCTCGGGTGGGTCGGGGGGCACAGGGGGTGGGACAGACCTGCCAACAAGGGCACCATCGCCTCCCGCATCGACTGCTTCTCGGGTGGGTCGGGGGGCACGGGGGGCACGGGGGGTGGGACAGACCTGCCAACAAGGGCAC